AATAAATGTAACTTTATTTTATTTTATTTTATTTTTTTAAGATTCAAGCTTCTAGGGCTGGCTACATCTGTAATCCCAGTACTCAGTACCTGGAGACTGGAGGGTCAGAAGTTCAAGGTCATCCTTGACTACATAATGAGTTCAGACTGGAATACATGAGGCCCTGTGCCAAAACAAAGATTCGAGCTTCTAAGACTCACAGAATTCACCAGAATCCTACCCTGGGACCTGGCACTCCCTTCTCCTCTATTTTTTATTTATTTATGTATTTACTTACTTGCTTATTTTTTATCTTTTCAGACAAGATTTCCCTATATAGCTCAGGCTGTCCTCGAATTTACAATCCCTGCCTCAGCACTCCAGAGTGCTGGGATGACAAGCCTATGCTACATCTGGTCCCTCTTCTCTACTCTTGCTCTCACCTCCTTTCCCCTCCTTAGACAATTTCCTTGTTTCCCCTTCTTTCCTGCTTTTCCTGCTCTGTCCACCTGGCTCTGACACTTCCCAAGAGTCCCCAGCCAAAGCATGCCAAACCATCATATTTAAATTCTGAAGACAGCACGACAAATGCCAATGTACTTACGAAAGGAGTATCAGTTCTCAATAAATACTATTTGCCTGCTGGATTTTTTTTTCTTAAATAAAATGTGGGTTGCTCCCCCTGCCCCGCCCCCCACAACTGATGCCATGGCTTATGCATTTTGATTAAAAACATGTTATTTTGTCTCTTCTCATGAGTATATGACATAAAAGAAAGTCATTTTGTTTTCAAGTAAAACATTATCAATATGCCCATCAGATTAGGTAGGCAAATCAGAATACCTAAACTGAGAAGATCACAGTTTCATTGATATGTATTCCTCAATAGACATGACCAAAAAGAATCTTTTCATTTAGCTACCTAGCCAAAGAGAAGCAAACAAATCTGTCAAAAGCTAGTAATCATTGTGTCGCACAATAAGCAAAAGAGATTGTTCTTCCCTTCCTTTTGTTTTTTTCCAGCACAAATATTACTTACAAAGCATCTACCATGACCATGGGCACTAGGGGAATGCTTTTAAACTGAGGGTCATGATCCCATATGGAGACATGTAACTGAATGTGAGGGGTCATGAAAAAATAGCAATAGTAAACGGTTTCTGAATTCACAATGGCTAAAAATTCAAAATCAAATGCATAAAGAGCATCTACCAAGGTATTTCTCCTGCTTGCACCTGGTAACCACATGACTCAAACACCTCAGTTCAGATCAAGATTATTGTACATTGTAAACTGCAGTGTTTAGGGCCATACATACAAAGTTTTCTGCTCTTACAGAATCATATAGTCTCAACTATGGAAAACAGACTAACATTTCCCTACCATTTCATTCCTCAGCATGTCATTTTCAAATTACGATAGCTTTGAGTCCTATTGTGTTAGGCAGACAAGCACATCTAGCCCATTAGTATGCAAATTTGCTTTCATCTTTAACAAACTGTAAAATTGTTTTAAAATAAATTTATGATTTATTATCAATAAATATTTTATTTGTATACTTATTTTATATATCTATGTATCCAACATTGCATAAAGGGCAAAAGGGTGTAAAACATTTAAGAAACCCTGTGGCTCCTCACTTTCATCAACCCTCTCAAGAGGACTCTATTCCATCTAGGTTTATAGAGATGAAAGTCCCAAAGGCCAAGTGAAAGAAACCAGTATAGAAACCCATCAAAGCCTCCCAACCAGGCTGCATTTATGGACCGTCAAAGGCTAATCACTTTTATAACTAAAAATCATCTGAAAAGGGAAATCTAGGGGCATATCTGCATACACTGACAGCAGCCATCCTCATTCAGAAAGACAGCATGGGTCTGGAGAGATGATTCAGAGGTTAAGAGCACTGGCTGTTCTTGCAGAGCATCCGGTTCGG